GGTGTGTGTGTGTGTGTGTGTGTGTGGTGTGTGTGTGTGTGGTGTGTGCTATGTGTGTGTGTATGTGTGTGAGAGAGTGTGTGTGTGGTATGTGGTGTGTGTGTGTGTGTGTGTATGTGTGTGAGAGGGTGGGTATGTGTGGTGTGTGGTGTGTGTGTGTGTGTGTGTGTGTGTGTGTGTGTGTGTGGTGTGTGCTATGTGTGTGTGTATGTGTGCGAGAGAGTGTGTGTGTGGTATGTGGTGTGTGTGTGTGTGTATGTGTATGTGTGTGGGAGAGTGGGTGTGTGTGGGGTGTGGTGGGTGTGTGTGTGTGTGTGTGGTGTGTGCTATGTGTGTGTGTATGTGTGCGAGAGAGTGTGTGTGTGGTATGGGGTGTGTGTGTGTGTGTGTGTGTGTGTGTGTGTGTGTGTTGTGGGGGGGGGCTGGGGGAGATGCCATGGTTTGCGTGTGGAAGAGAACAACGTTCATTCCAGCACATGAGGTCCCAGGATTGAACTCAGTGTTCAGCTGTACAGTGAGTGCTTTTCTCATACCTGCTGAGCCATCCCATCTACTCTGGTCTCCATTTAAGGTTTTTTGTTTGTTTGTTTTGTTTTGTTTTGTTTTTAATGAGACAAGGTCTTACTATGTAGCTGTCCTGGAACATGCTATGTAGATTAGCTGGATTTGAACTCACAGAGACCCACCTGCCTCTGCCTCTTGAGTACTGGGATTAAAGGTGTGCACCACCACCACTCTGCCTTCTTTAATTCTTTATAAAATATATCCAAGAGTTATATAAATCTCTTACACAAGTAACCCTACCAGCTGACACACCTGCTAACTCTTGCTTGCTCATTGGTCATCCCTGTGCTTATGAGTTCAAATTCCATGGGCCTCTAGATGGAATAGCCCCACATTATCTTTTTAGGAAATTTCTTTTTCTAGAGGAGCATTTAGTTTGCTTTCCTCTGAAGTTTAATACAATGTTTACTTGTCCTAAGTTTTTTTCTCCGATATTCAGGACATGCTTATATTTAAAAAATGATTCATTGTCTGATACTCAAATTAATAGGACTTCTATATCTTATATCTAGAGTACAGTTGTTTTTTTTTTTAGCACAGGGCTTCACATAGCCAGGGATGACCCTGCAAGGGCTGGGATTACAAGTGTTTGTCATGACACCCTGTTTATACAGTGCTGGGGACTGAACCCAGGGCTTTGTTCATGATAGGCAAGCTACATTCCCTGCATGAGTATTAAAATAAATTGTTTTTGAGACAGAGTTTCACTATGTAGCAGACTGGCTTCCAATTCACAGAGATCCGCCTGCCTCTGCCTCTGCCTCCCCAGGGCTGGGATTAAAAGCATGTGCCATCATGCCCCACAAAATATTTCATCTTTTAGATTTATCTTCCCATCACTTGAGGTGAAGCCCAAGTTATTGTCTCCCATCCCCAAATAGTTGTTAAGCCTTTAGTATCTTCCCAAAGCAACAAACAACACACACAGACACACACACACACAGACACACACACACACCCCATAAATCAGGTTTGGTGGCACATGCCTGTCTGTAATCCCAGCAGCTTTGGAACCTGAAACAGGAGGATCTTGACTTCAAGGCTACCTGATGAGACCATGTCTCAAAAAATGAAAAAGGAAAACAGACCAGCAGGATGGCTTAGTGAGTAAAAGTGCTTGGTGTGCAAGCCTGAAGGCCTGAGTTCAACTCCAAGAACCCATGGTAGAAGGAAAGAACCAATTCCAGACCTACACACACACTCTGAGGCACACTCAGGCCTGCCCATACACATCACATGTGAGTGCACACACACACACACACACACACACACACCAATAATAAGAAGAAAGAAAAATAAGATCCCTACATCTTCCTTTCCACTTCTTACTGGTTTTGTTGTCTTGGCTGTCAGCCCCTGGGGATTCTCCTTGGTTTTATTTTTTATTTATTTATTTTTTCTTTTTCTTTCTTTTTTTTTTTTTTTTTTTTTTTTTTTTTTTGAGACAGGGTTTCTCTGTGTACCTTTGTAACCAGGCTGGTCTTGAACTCACAGAGATCCTCCTGCCTCTGCCTCCCAAATGCTGGGATTAAAGGCATGTACGACCACTGCCCGGCAACGTTGGTTTTAAAAGGAAGTTTTAGGATTTGTTTCTCTAGAAAACAAAAAACCAAAAATCTTGCAGGTCACTTCTGTTACTTGGATTCTGAAAGACCTGGCTTGGAGAAGAGGCTACATGCTTGACAACAAAATAGAAATTGATATTTGCAGCACACGGGTAAATGCTTGATTAGTGTGGGCTCCCAGGTGAGGTCATCACTGTTAACATCCAAAGACTTTTCTCCCTATCTGCAGCCACGCTGTCTGGGCTGGACCCAGTAGAAGCCAAGTCCATGGAGAGATGCTGGGAGATGGGGGTGACCAATGGCTCAGAGAGTGGCTTGGAGTTCAACCCTATGAAGGATTACATGATCCTGAGTGATGCCCAGAAGATAGCTGTGGCGGTGCTGTGTACCCTGCTGGGCCTGCTAAGTGCCCTGGAGAACTTGGTGGTGCTGTATCTTATACTGTCTTCCCAGCGGCTCCGCAGGAAGCCCTCGTACCTATTCATCGGCAGCTTGGCTGGAGCTGACTTCCTGGCCAGTGTGATCTTTGCCTGCAACTTTGTCATTTTCCATGTCTTCCATGGTGTTGATTCCAAAGCCGTCTTCCTGCTGAAGATAGGCAGTGTGACCATGACCTTCACAGCCTCTGTGGGCAGCCTGCTGCTGACGGCTGTTGATCGATACCTATGCCTGTGCTACCCACCTACCTACAAAGCTCTAGTCACCCGTGGGAGGGCACTGGTGGCCCTTTGTGTCATGTGGGTCCTCTCGGCATTCATCTCCTACCTGCCACTCATGGGATGGACTTGTTGTCCTAGCCCCTGCTCGGAACTTTTCCCACTCATCCCCAATGACTACCTGCTAGGCTGGCTCCTATTCATTGCCATCCTCTTCGCCGGCATCATCTACACCTATGGGTATGTTCTCTGGAAAGCCCACCAGCACGTAGCCAGCTTGGCAGAGCATCAGGACAGGCAGGTGCCTGGGATAGCTCGGATGAGACTAGATGTGAGGTTGGCCAAGACCCTGGGGCTGGTACTGGCTGTCCTGCTCATATGCTGGTTCCCTGCATTGGCTCTCATGGGTCATAGCCTGGTCACCACACTGAGTGACCGGGTTAAGGAGGTGTTTGCCTTCTGTTCCATGCTTTGTCTGGCTAACTCTATGGTCAATCCTATCATTTATGCCCTGAGAAGTGGAGAGATCCGCTCCGCTGCCCAGCACTGCCTGGTAAGCTGGAAGAAGTATTTACAGGGCCTTGGACCTGAGGGGAAAGAAGAAGCCCCAAGGTCCTCAATTACAGAGACAGAGGCTGACGTGAGAACTACCCCGGACCCTGGTTCCAGAAGTCCAGGCTGCTCCAATTGCTGACGGCACCTATTTTCCTATTGGTAACAGCCTGGGCAAGAAATCAGGTCACTCCCTCGAGGAGAGAGGTGTCCCAGACCCTGAATCTTTCTGGAACCAGCTCTAGGGGACTGGACACAGAACCCTCTTTTGCCAACCAGTGCTGGGCTTCATGGCTGGAGGGTGGCCTGCTCATGCCTACCTGCAGAGTCTGTGGAGAGAGGCCTGTGATGATGACAAGCTCTGTTCACAAGTTAGGAAACCCTCCTGACTCCAGTGACCGAGAAGCCAGAGGGGCCTCCAGGGACCATAATAAAGGACTCAGAGGAGATCTGAGAAGATGAAGGGCCTGTTCTCCTGGGATCACAGAGTACCTCGGCCAGTGTGGTCACTGCCTACAAATTCATCAGTGTCCACGTCTTCCATGGTGTGGGTTCCAGGCTGTCCTGCTGATGACTGACAGCAAGACCAGCTAGCTCTGGTTCCTGCTTCGTTGTTTGGGACTCCATGGCTGGCTGTAAGCTATGTGAGGCTCCGCCTTTCAGGCCACCCTTGCCTTTTGAGGGTCAAGAATCATGGTGTGCTGAAGATCAAGAATGTTGACTCAGAGAGGGTCATAGCCATCAGCTCAGGGTATATTGTTGGGCCAGAGCCCTCATGACACCCTGATAAGCCTTGAAATCATTGTGACATTAGGTCCTTGGGGCCCCAGAGGAGGCTAGAGGTACACAGTCTTCAGGGAACCGTATTGATCTTGTGACATTCTGCTGTGTCTAGCGTAGTAGCATCCCGGGCTAGCCTAGTTCCAGTAAAAAGCAAGATATTCACAAAGATTTCCTGGGTCCTAGATTGTTGCCAGCAATGCTCAACTTACCCTCCTTGCCTCTTCCACACTGGTCCTGCGGGGATAAGCAAAGGGACTGGGGAGGGAAGACTTCCGCTGTGGTCCTGGCACAGGCTTACATCCTCTGTCAACAGCCCTTGCTGTGTCCCTGCATACCTGAATTTTACCTTCACTAGGGGGCATCCCCAACAGAGGGAAGTTCGAGACGCTGCTGGTGGCCGGAGAGGTAACACTGGGGACCACAGACACAGTGAAAGCAAAGCTATCCACTAAACACGTCATTTAATGCTTACAAAAGGATGTGTTCCCTGTCCATTGCTCTTTCATCTGCATCATAAATATGTTATGCCAGGCTGTGTGCGGTCCAGCATACCCAAGCCATGAAGGAGCTGGACCCTAATCAGGGCTTGTAGTCTACATTCTGACAAGAAGTGAGTCAGGGAAGCTGAGCCTGGTGGCATAGGTCTGTTAATTCCAGCTCCTTAAGAGGCTGAGGCAAGAAGATCCTAAGTTCAAAACCTTCCTGAGTTATACACGGAGTTGAAGTTCAGTTCAGGCAAATTGGTGGGACCCAGTGTCAAAATAAAAAAATAAGTAAGTGAAGGGCTGGAGTGGAGCACAGTGATGCACAAATATAGCCCTGGTGTTCAGGTAGAATTGCTGAAAGCTTAAGGCCAGCCTCCCCTAAGTGAGACATCTTTTTTTTTTTAATGGGTAGGGGTGTTTCGCTGCATATATGCATATATGTTGTGCAACACATGTGTGCCTGGTGCTCACAGAGACCAGAGGAGGGCATCAGATCCCTTAGAACTGGTGTTACCAATCACTGGTGAGCTGCCATAGGGGTACTGGGTCCTCTGGAAGAACAGTGCTCTTAAGCTCTAGCCATCTCTCAGGTATGAGTCCAACTCTTATACACTTTCTACTTTTGCTTTAAGCGGAGAGGCAGAGTTTATGAAGGGAAGGGGTAGGGGTCAAGGTAAGGGCCCTGGGTAGAGATGAGAAACAGCCTTGTTTAGATGACGATCCAGCCAGCAGACAAGACTTGACCATTGCCCAGAGAAACCAACAAGGTGGTGCCCAGTGCAAAAAAACTCAGGCTCCCTAATAATTCAGGTCAGTCCATTCTGCTACAGAGTCTCCCACATGCCCCTGCAAGATGACATTTTGGTTTTTCTGTTAGGTCAAATGAAGGTTATGGTGTCCCATTTTACTTTCCCCAAGACAAGTTGTGTGCATCAGAGGCCATTGCAATTCTAATCGCTATTGAAAGGATGAGGGGAAAGAAGTTGATTTTTTTTTTTTTAAGTCTCCTGTGCTTAGTGTTTTAGGCCATATTTCAATGTTAACTTGGGAAGGAAGAAACAGAAAATACTGTTTCCTTATTACTCCCCTAAAGGAGGCAGCATTTGGTCTGTCGGCATAAGCCCTGGCTTTTTCCAAGGTGCCGGGCAGAGTAGCTGGAGAGAGGATTTCCACTGCTGTAAATTGTGGGACTGCCTTTGGCCTTCACTTTTGTTATCTTGGGCACTCCCCGCCGTGTCCTCGCCTTGGTTTCCTCATGGGTCAGTTGGGAAAGGTAGGGAAGAGGGTTGCCATCAAGGAGCAGTAAAACCTCTTATTGCTCTAACATGTGGTTGTTGTCTCAGCAACCATGGAGACAGTTGTGCCACATAGACGATGTGACTTCTGGCTTGCATACTTCCTGCAGCTACGGACACAGACACAGACACACAGACACACAGACACACAGACACACACACACACACACACACACCATTGGGCATGTGTTGACTGTAGAGGAACCAGGTGGCCTGCCAAACAAGTTTTGCAGACCTTCCTGAAGCAAGAGGGTCTCTTGGCTCTCAAATTTCTTGTCCTGCTATTCTAAAAATCGTGCCTCAGTGGCGCTCTGTGGGCTTATTCAGTGTTGCTGGACTGACCCCCAAACTTACAACATGCTAAGCAAGTGTTCTACTCCTAAACTACTTCAGTTAGATGCTAAGCTCTCTGAGAGTCCCTCAGGGGATTTGGGGGTGCAGCTCAGTCAGTAGAGGTCTTCCTTTGCATGGGCAAATTATGCAGTACTGTTCAAAGGCCAGTACTGCATAAAACCAGGAGTGTTGGAGCTACCCCGACCTGCAATCCTAGCACTCATGAGGTAGAAGCAATCCTAGCCTGAGCTACATGAGACACCTTTATCTCAAAATAGATTTAAGTTACAATTTAAAATTAAAATGTCTAAATACCTCAGAGTTCTCAAAGTAAGTTCAACGAACAAGAGACAAGCCAGAATAACCACGTCTGCCCTTCCTCTCAGCAGCTATTTCACTCTCCTCACAAAGTTCCTTCCTATGGTGTTTCTACCTCGTTATTTCTAAATCTCTTACGCAACTCCGCAATTGGCTTAGCGCCACCTGCCGCTTGGATGTACAGCACAAGGAAACAGTTGTTCTTAATTAATCACTAAATAAAACGATCTGGTTTCAGCCTTCTCCTGAGGATTGGTGCAATAATGTGGGCTATTCCCTGTTCTCCGCACACCCTGGGTCCTTCCTGCTTACGGGACCCGGCAATTAAGTCCCTAGGGGGAGACTATGGAGTTTTAATTCAATAGATCAGAGCTATCAACGCCTCTTTGCGACTTCTCAACGCCAGAGGGCGCTCGCGGTCAGAGACGGCGCCTCAGACGGCACCCTAGACCGCAGGAGTGACCCCGCCCCTTTCCCTTCCGAGCCAATCGTTTCTCAGGGAGGCGGAGCTACTGACCAGCGCCTGCGCGTTAAGAAGGAAGGTGCAGGCACGGAAGCAGGGATGTGGGAGCTAAAAAGTCGATGGCGGGCGGTGGGTCTGGGGCTGCTGCTGCTGCTGAGTGCTGCGGCCCAGGCCGCGCCCTCGGCTCCTCGCCGCTACACCCCGGACTGGCAGAGCCTGGACTCTCGGCCACTGCCCAGATGGTTTGACGAGGCCAAGTTCGGGGTGTTTGTGCACTGGGGTGTGTTCTCGGTGCCCGCCTGGGGCAGCGAGTGGTTCTGGTGGCACTGGCAGAGCGAGCGGATTCCGGCCTATGAGAACTTCATGAAAGAAAACTACCCGCCGGGCTTCAGCTACGCCGACTTCGGACCGCAGTTCACGGCGCGCTTCTTCCACCCGGACCAGTGGGCCGCACTCTTCCAGGCTGCCGGGGCCAAGTGAGTGCGGGCTGGCGCGAGGCGGGACGGGGCAAGCCCACGGCTGAAGGCCTCGCACCCTGCGTTCTGCACCCCGGAGGATGGCGCACTGATGCTAAGGAACAGAATCCTGCTGGAGATTGATTTTAAAACTGAAGTCGGGAAAGCACTGGGTACTGCACCTGTGTGGAGAGAGGCTAGAACCAGGCTCCAGCCGGTGTGTCTCTTCTACAAGGGCCAGAACACAGTCTGGACTCTTGTCAGTGGACCTGGGCCTTAGGCTACCTGTGGCGTCGGTGGAAGGTTATAAAAAGAAGCTGCCTGAGTTCCTTGTAGCCCTGTGACTCTAAATGGAGAAGGAAGGATGGGAGTTTCGGGTGCTCTGTTTGGGTTCTCACTTCCTCGTGGAGGGATTGGGTTGTTTGGGCACAGCCCTCCAGAGGAAGGTATGTTTTGAGAGCCCTAAGCTAGTATTTGCCATTGTAAGCATGGTGGCTCACACCTTTAATCCCAGCACTGGGGAGGCAGAGGCAGGTGGATCTCTGAGTTCAAGGACAGACGGGTCTACAGAGTGAGTTCCAGAACAACCAGAGCTGTTACACAGACAAACCCTGTCTCAACTCCCCTCCCAAAAAGTATTTGTCATTACTTGTGTGGGAGTACAGGGCCGGAGGAAGCAGGAAGCTGACTTCAAGCCATCTCTCCTATCCATAACTTATATATGAACAAGGTTGGACTTCAGCCCCTTTCCAAACTCCCTGTTTTATGGACGAGGTAACTAAGGCAGAGAGAGGAAGGAGCGTGGTATCCTAGACTGTACATCTTGTGACCTGGAGATGCACCCAGGGTTTGCAAGCCATACCCAGAAGGACTAGTTATCTGCCTGTTTTAGGAGGTCTAAGAATGAGAAGGGCTTTTATATTTCAAGACTGTTTAAAAGAGGAAAGAAATGTGTTGCAGAAAGGAATGGATGAGCCTAAGATACTATGTGACCCAGAAGTTCAGGAGTCCCCACACCTCCTGTGATAAAAATCACATGTTCATGTTATATTTCTTTCTTTTTTTTTTTTTTTTGGCCCTAAAAGTAAATGACATATTATTTCAACATTTGTCTTTCAATCCCAGATATTTGAGTCTTTGTTGCCCCCTGAGATGAAGGGCAGTTCCACAGTGTTAGTAAATCAAGCAGCTGTCATCTGCTCTTGCCATTAGATCAGGGCAGAGGGGTGGAAAAAGTTCATTACTTATGCCCTGAAGGGGTGAGTCTGTGTGTTAAGGTGCGCCATTTTTCTCTTGTTAACCTTCTGGGCATCCAGTGCCTCCTTCCATTCTTGAGTCATACCTACAGGGTGATATTGTCACTATGAAGGCATCTTGGTTGTCGCAGTGACTCGTCCCAGTATGTTTCCTATAATTGAGATCTTCCTGCCATACTGGGCAAGGTCATGGTTGTGGTCACTGCCCACTTCCTTTGTTCTTATTTGGTTTTGATGTCTACAGGTATGTGGTCCTGACCACAAAGCATCATGAAGGCTTCACAAACTGGCCAAGTCCCGTGTCTTGGAACTGGAACTCAAAGGATGTGGGGCCCCATCGTGATTTGGTCGGTGAGTTGGGAGCTGCTGTTCGGAAGAGGTGCGTGTCTGTGGACGGCTAGCCACTCTACCCTCTTAGCCATCCATCCCTGCAGAGTACCATCCTTGTCTCCTCTTGTTTGTCTGCTGGGGCTATACTTAGCCAGTGAGCAGATGGGCTTCCAGACTTGGGGTTTGAGATTTGGCGGTCTTCACAGGACCACAGGTGATACAATAGGAGGAGTTCACAGTGGAGTGAAGGACACAAAATAGACTGTGATGGGCCATCTGCAGCCTGCACAGGATTTCTGTGAAAGCTTGAACTACAGAGGCTTTTCTTTCTTTTTGTTTTATTTATTTGTTTTGTTTTTCTCGAGACAGGGTTTCTCTGTGTAGCCTTGGCTGTCCTGGAACTCGCTCTGTAGACCAGGCTGGCCTCAAACTCACAGAGCTCCACCTGCCTCCACCTTCTGAGTGCTAGGATCACAGGCATGCATCACCACTTCCCACTTAGAGCCTTTTCCCTGTATGTGACAGGCCAGGGACGGGGTCTCAGCCTTCTCCTCCACAGTCATCAGCACCCACCCAGCACAGAGCTGTTCAGGACTGAGGGCAAGCTCTGATAGAAGATCAGAACTAAAGAGGGAGGCCCACAGCTGCTTCTACTCGATCAGCAGTCTCTGGTATTTGTCACTCCACAGGAAGTAACAGCCTGACATGGTGCACATGCCGCTGGTTCTAGCACTTGGGAGGCAAAGACAGGACGGTCAGGAGCTCACGGCTAGCCTTAGGTATATACCGAGTTTGAGGCTAGCCTGGGCTACACAAGACTGTATCTCAAAATGCTAAATAATGATAATAATAATATGAATTAACTTCTGAATATAAAAACAGTAGGATGTGGATAGGTAGGATAAGGTTTGGGGGTTTGGTGCTGGCATACAAACATAGGCCCTCGTGAATGCTAAACAGTTGCTCTTCCACTGAATGTGTTAGTTACTTCTGTGTCAGTGACCGCCATAGCTGCTAGAAACAACTCCAGGGAAGGAAAGCTGGTTTTAGAGAGTTTCAGCTGGTTTTAGAGAGTTTCGGTCTACCATGGTGGGGCAGCTGCCTTCATGGCAGCCACACACTGGGGTAGAGGTTATTTATTTAGCAAACATATGACCAGGGAGCAGACAGGAATGAGAGGCAGTATGTCCTTTAGAGCCATTGTGACCCACTTCTGCCAGCAAGTTCCACCTTGTAAAGGTTCTGCAGATTCCTCAAATAGCACTATCAGCTAGGGACCAAGCCTTCAAAACAAGCCTAGGGGGAGACATTGAAGGTTCGAGCCATAACACAGCCCCATCCCCAGTCTCCAGCAGTGGAATGGGATTGGATTCAGGTGTTCAGGTTTGCCTCTAAGAAAGAAAACAACTTTCTGCTGTGACTTGGTAAGCTTGGCATCCTGTTTGAGGGGTAGGCTGACTGCCTGATTGTGTAAGTCATCAAGTTTGTTTTGAACCCAGCTGTGCCTTTGTTGCACACTGCCCAGGACTGTCTCATGGAACAAATGGAGAGCTGAGACAGACCACAGCTTACAAATGCATTAGCTGACTCTTGTTCCCTGCTCAGTGTTCCATGCCCCATGCCGCCTTGGCTAAAAATCCTGTAGTAAATGTCAGTCTCATTGGGCTGGAGAAATGACTCAGAGGTTAAGAGCACTGGCTGGTCTTTCAGAGGGCCTAAATTCAATTCCCCGCAACCACATGGTGGGTTGCAACCATCTGTAATGAGATCTAGTGCCCTCTTCTGGCCTGCAGGTGTACATGCAGGCAGAATACTGTATGCAGAATAAATGAATAAAATCTTTTTAAAAAATGTCTGTTTGGCTGGGCATTGGTGGCGCACACCTTTAATAACCCAGCACTCGAGAGGCAGAGGCAGGCGGATCTCTGTGAGTTTGAGGCCAGCCTGGTCTCCAGAGCGAATGCCAGGATAGGCTCCAAAGCTACACAGAGAAACCCTGTCTCGAAAAACAAAACAAAAAAATGTCCGTCTGATCTTAGACATGGATCAGATGAGGACTTTGGAAGTAGCGGTTTTCTTCTGGTTTGGTTCGGTCTGATGAGTTGGGGCCTTCTCTGTATCCCTGAAGAGCTTTGAACCTGCCATTCGACCAGGCTGCTTTCTTTCTTTTGTTTTGTTTTGTTTTGTTTTGTTTTTCAAGACAGGGTTTCTCTGTATTGTTTTGGACTCTGTCCTGGAATTTGCTTCGTAGACCAGGCTGGCCTTGAACTCACAGAGATCTGCCTGCCTCAGCCTCCTGAGTGCTGGGATTAAAGGCATGTGCCACCAACCCCTGGCTGACCAGGCTGCTTTCTAACTTGAAGCAATCCTCCTGGCTCTGCCTTCCAGGTGCTGGGGTTCCAGGCCTGTGGAACATACCCAGCCTCGGAAGACTGGAGAGGCAGCTTCTCTGTCCATGGTTGTTCCCCAAGTCACATGCTCAATACTCCGTCAGTTCTTTCTTATCTGTGCCTTGCTATGTTATTTTCTTCACTGCCTGCATTGTAATTTCTGTGAGCACCATATCTTAACTGGTTAAGTTTATGAGGCATAGTGTGACATGCTTGCAGTGTGCACAATGAGCAAATCAGGGGAATTAGCATTTCTAGCTCCTTAATCATTTGTCGTTTCTTTGTGTTAGGAACCTTCAAACTCTTTCTAGTTCTTTAAAAGCTATAGCTTATGACAGAATGCTTGCCTAGCATATGTGAGGCCCTGGGTTTGATTCCCAGAACCATAAAAAAAAAAATGAAGATTTTAAAAAATGAAATATGTGGTGACACACGCCTTTAATCCCAGCACTCGGGAGGCAGAGGCAGGTAGATCTCTGTGAGTTTGGTGCTAGTCTGGTTCTACATAGCCAGTTCTAGGCAAGCTAGGGCTACACAGTGATACCCTGTCTCAAAAAAAAAAAAAAAAAAAGTATATTAAATAAATAAAATATCTCAAATAGCTTAGGCTAACATTAAACTCACTTGGTAGTCATGGATGATCTTGAACACCTGATCCTCCTATCTCCCCCTCCTAAATGCAGACGTCACACCCAGTCTGATTTTTCTCTGCCCAATGCCAGCTGCTGCTGTGTTTTTCTGTTACAGGAATTTACGATACGGCCTGTACCACTCTCTCTTGGAGTGGTTCCATCCACTCTACCTACTTGACAAGAAAAATGGCTTCAAGACTCAGTATTTTGTTGGTGCAAAAACAATGCCAGAGCTGTACGACCTTGTTAACAGGTGAGAAACAGGAGAGGGGGGGGCTGACAACTTGTATTTGAAGTCAGAGCAGCCTCTAGGGTGCTGTTAAAAGGCTTCAGCCACAGGCTGCCTTTCAGTGCCTTTCAGCCACTTAGAAGGCATCAAAATCATAAAAGTGGCATTTGTATTCATGCAAAGCATGTTTCCCCTCCCACCTCTCAGAACTTCTGGACTGTGGTCACCTACTAAGCTGCTGTTGTCACAGGGAACCCAGGAGGCACTGAGTCAAAGCTAGAGCCTCAGTGCTCCCTTGACATTGTGCCTAGTCAGGACCTTGGAGAGGGGCACTGGTGCCTTCCTGATCGTAAGCTCTAATCGGAGCATCCTGAGCACAGATCCTGCCCTATGGAGAACTCACATCAAGTGCAGAATCCCTGTCACAGTGCTGGGAACAGGAAGAGAGCCACCATTCTCAAATGGGGATCTGTTGCTTACCTCCCCCTGGTTATAGGTGTATAGGTCAGAGAACAATTTGGGAAATTAGTTTTCTCATCTTACCACGTGGACCCCAGGATCAGGCTTGGTTATCAGGCTGGCTTGGTGGCAAGCACTTTTATCCACTGAGCCCTCCTGCCAGGCTCTTTCTATGCTTTTCTCTTGTGAGAGCTGGGAGCTGCCCCTGGATGGGGGACCCTTGTAGCCTAAAGGGTGGCTTCTTTGTCTTCTCTCATTTTATATATTTTGTTTTTGTTACGTTTGGTTTTCTTTTCTTCCTTTTGGTGTTTCCAGACAGGGTTTCTCTGTATAGCCCTGGCTGTCCTAGAAATCTCTGTAGACCAGGCTGGTCCCAAGAACTCTCATAGATCCACCTGGCTCTGCCTTCCAAGTGCTGGGATTAAAGGTGTGTGCCACCACTGTCCGGCACTGGCTCTCTTTTTTCTTTATCCTGAACCTGGGGTTGGTAATCACGGAGCTAATGAGGTAATGGGCATAAGCTGTGTGGTGCACTTGACTGCACACAGGGGAGAGGCCAGAGAAGGCTTTCCTCCTTGAGACTGTTACTAGCCTCACTGTGGAGAGGCTAGAGAAGGCTTTCCTCCTCGAGACTGTTACTAGCCTCACTGTGGAGTGCAGTGAAGGTCTGTCATTTGCCCTCCAGCTCCTTCAGACTCATGATTCTAAAATGTGCATAATAACGCTTGTCTTAGGCCTTCACGTTTACACACATTTTAGTAATAACGTGGAGGGGGCACTAGGCCCTGGGAGGCTTTCCAGCTGGACTGGGTAGCTGCCAAGAACAGATCAGAGCCATGCTCCAAAAGTTTACAGCACCCCCAAAGCAGACATCTTTATTTTGTACTTTTGGAATACCAGGGACTTGCCATGTAGCCCAGGCTAGCCTCTAATTTGTAATCTCCTGACTCAGGTTCCCAAGTGCTGGGATTACAGACATGAGCCACCGCACCTGGCTTTTTAGTTTTTTGGTCTTGGGGACAGGACCTAGGTCTTAGAACATGCTGGGCTCTGTCACTGAGCAACACACCCTAGGTCATGACCACTGTTACTGTTTTTTTTTTTTTAATCACATTTTATTATTTCATGTGCATATTGTATTTGTGTGTATTATGGGTATATATTGTATGTGCACATATGTGCCATAGCACACATGGAGGTCAGAGAACAACTCTGGAAGTCAGTTCTCCTTCCTTGTAGATTGTGGGGATCAAATTTGGATCATCAGGCTTGAGAGCAGGAGCTTTTCCAGCTCAGTTGAACCATCTGGCCTGCCCAAGCACCAATCTCTTTTCCAGAATGTATTTATTACTTATGTTTAGTCTATATATACCATGGGCAGCAGGTGCCCAGGGAGGCCAGAGGGCATCGATTCCCTGCAGTGAGAGGTACAGGTGGTTGTGAGCCGCTGTATGGGTGCTGGGAACCAAGCCCTCTTCAGTAAGAACCCCTCCCCCCATCCAGCTGTCTCTCCAGCCCTGTGAGCACCACCCCTAACTGGAGTTAGTTGCTTGAAGGGAAGCAAACTCTAGATACTGATTACAGCGCCCTTTCTAAAAGGGGAACAGAGGAGACTAGGAGACGTATACAGAAGTAGTTCACTCTTTATTGTTATTGCTATTGTTCCATTTTAATTTACTTGGGGGGGGTGTGCGCGCGCGCATGCACACGTGTGTGTGTGTGTGTGTGTGTGTGTGCGCGCGCGCGTGCGCGCGCGCCCTGCTGTGCATGTAGAGGTCAGAGGACGGACCACTTGCATGAGTCAGCTCTCTTTTTCTGCCACAGGGGACCCAGGGATTGAATTTAGGTTGTCAAACTTGGCAAACGCTTTCACCAGCCCCTGCAGTGTTTGTTTTTGTTTTTGTTTTTGTTTTTGTTTTTTAATTAAAATTTTTATTTTATACCTATGGCATGTTTGTCTATGTTCTACAAGCATGCCTGGTGCCAACAGAGGGCATCAGATCCCAGGGGACTGAGCCTGTGTGGGTGCTGGATTCAAACCTGTGTCCTCTGGAATAGCAGCCAGTGCTGTTAACTTCTCAGCCATCTCTCCCCACACACTCCCAGGGGTCTCCTTTAGATTTCTTATCACTTTAGTTTCTGCATTGTCATTTTCATGGTACTTTCCAATCAAGAGGCTTCTTTTCTTTTAGGAATGGAACCCACAGCCTCATGTGTGGTAGACAAGTGCCCTCCCACATAGCCACACTCCCAGCTCTAATTTTTAAATATTTGTTGCAAAAATCTGTCTGTGTAAGACTGGACTAGAAGCCAGGCGGTGGTGGTGCACGCCTTTAGTCCCAGCACTCGGGAGGGAGAAGCAGGCGGATCTCTGTGAGTTCAAGATCAGCCTGGTCTACAAGAGCTAGTTCCAGGACAGCCTCCAAAGCCACAGAGAAACCCTGTCTTAAAACCCACTCTTCTCTCCCCCCCCCCCAAAAAAAAGACTGGACTAGATAAAGATTCACAGCAAACTGTTGTGATCACGTGTCTTCCAGCTACAAGCCCGACTTGATCTGGTCTGATGGGGACTGGGAGAGTCCTGATACTTACTGGAACTCCACGGCTTTCCTCGCTTGGCTCTATAATGATAGCCCTGTCAAGGTAGGTGGTTATCTAACTTCCTCATTATTGGTTCTGATAAGAGAGTATGAATGGACCTGGTGATACTTACTCATCGGCTCAGCTTGAGTAGGCTGTGACGGGGAATTCACAGCAGTCTTCCTGTCTCAGCTTCACAAGAGCTGGGATTACGGGTATATGACACCACTCCTAGCTTTATATCCAGATTTTAAAGGGAACTTAGCTAACTCCCTACAGTCAGTCAGTATACTTCGCTAGCACATTTGTGTCTTGTGTTATGTTATGGGACTTTTACTGCATACAGAAGTTTTAATCTGTGTGATGAAAAATGTCAAAAATGTTCACATGCTCTGGATTTGTAGGTTTTAAAGAAAAAATAAGTATAAAGTAGTTTGGTAACTGGAGGTATAGCTCAGTGGCTGAGCATGTGCTTAACACACAGGGGGACCCAGGTGTAACCACAAGCACCAAAGCTAAGCCTGGATGAAGGTGCCCTGGTGGATGCCTATCTATGGGGTCTTTTTTTTTTTTTTTTTTTTTTTTTTTTTTTTTTGTT